TTCGGTGTATATCTGAATGCAGGAGCTTCTGAAGTGTACACATTCACAATAACATGGCGAAAAAGTGCTTTTACGGAAACCGCGAGAACGACTAAAGTTGAGACCAATTTAATTTGGTATGAATCATATATCAGAAATCAATTCATTATCAAATGTAAACAAGACTGCGAATTATCTGCATATTACAGATGGATGGAAGACAAAAAGCTCTTTTTTAATTATTTATCCGAAAGTAAGAATATATATTCCATTAATCGAAAGTTATAGGGAACATAACTGAATTGCTTACATAAGTAAAGGTCAGAGAAATTATATACATCTAGGAATCTTATACATTGTATTAACTATGTATGAAGAACAGAGCAGCGAAATCGATAATGCAGTCATTAAACTGTGTGACTTATGGTTCTAAGTGCAATGAGTAGTTTTGAAGCTTGCAAGGGATATGCGGATTTGAGCACAGCTTTACAGACGATCTTGGGAAAGTATATATAATTGTCTCTACTGAAAGAAACGTGCGTTTCGAAGGAATTTTACATGGTATCTGGGCTCCGGAAACAAATCAGATGTACATACAAAAGTAAACGCTTTACATGTGTAACTCCTTCTTCATTATTAAATATTTTTTGAAACTGAATCAAGCAGTGCACTAGCAGCTGGATTTGAATCAAGGTCCGCAAACATCCCTCCAACGCCTCACTTTTGGCAGATCTCCGTCATTTTGACGCTTTAGCAAACATAATCAACGTAGTTGATATTTACCAGTAAGGTGAGGATCTTAACTCAAGGCAAGTGGCTCGAGTTTGCAAGAAAATTCGTAATGGAGAATAAAGTTGAAGTTACACGATAGGGCTACGGTGTGTGTTATCCTCATTTGGAGATAAATCTTCAAGCAGCTGACCAGTGGATACTCATATCTCAGCAAATTCGCTTAATGCTACACAAACATATTCGATTGTGCCCAATGACCGCCAAGACGCGATCGTTTAGCGGAGCGCCGTTACTAGACACGATGAGGTAAAATTTACAAAAGAGTTGTTCGTGAAAACATCATAACTGGCATCAGCTTGGGGGGGGGGTATGACGAAAAAAACCGCGGTTCATGAGGTGCATTATAACGCGGTAGCATGAAGACGCGATGAAACAAAGACGACAGTCAGATCGACATAGTGGAGCAAGCAAAACCTGAAATATTACGTATCAACAGTTACGCTTCACTCAGGGATCGGGGTGCAACCGGTGTCGACAACTCGAAAGGAGCGAAACGTCGACCGAAAAGTAAAACGTTGCCATTTGAGTTGAACATTTGGGTGTCTTAATCATGTATGTATCAGGAAAGTGTCTAAGGGATCAATTATACAGGGTACTGCGCCAAAGTAACATACTCCGTTGCCAGTCTCGCTTGAAAATAAATTTCCCATTGACAATTC